TCATTTCGTCTCTCTGATTCCAGTGAAGAATGTGCTTTTTTAGATTTTTCTATGCTTGGAAGTTGCTATAGAGACTGAGTTAATTTTCTGGGGGTAGGGTCGCTCAACGTTTCCTCTTTTTCTATCTTAGTCCCAGATAGTAAACTAGGCGAGGTTATCAGCAACGTAATGAACTGACTGTTTCAATACAACTCAAAAAAATCACAATTAGTTTGATTCTTGTTTTGCAGTCAGAAAAATTGAAAGTGATTTACACAAAACTAGCATTGATTTTCCAATGGAAAGCAGTTACACAAAAAGTTCAGGAATACTTGTAGAGAATAAATAGCTCACTAAACAGGTACAATATTGTCCTTAATAATAATAATAATAATAATAATAATTTGCTTTATTCCAATACAGTACTTGTGATACAGAATAGAATTCTCAGCATTTTTACTATAGTATTGCATCCAGTTAGTACATCATCAATAAATAAAATTCCACATCGATTAAGGGTAATCTCAGTTAGTTTTGACAACAACATATTGGCATAACTCCATTATGAATAAGATTTTATTTTGATAAATCACACAGTGTTGTACAGTTATATTAACTGATGAATATATATAATATAACTGTACAACACTGTGTGATTTATCAAAATAAAAACTTATCCATAATGGAGTTATACTCTACCACAGTGCCCAAGTTTTATACTTATATCAACATATTGACATGTTGGTAGCAAAGCCAAAATTGAACAGTGTTTGAAGGTGTTAGAAAAGTAGATGGTAGCATATTTACTGGCGTAAGCGGTAACAAAAAGGTCGATATCTACAGTGTGAAAGAAAGAAGAAGAATGTTTTAAATAGAGTTTGTAAGGAAGAAAGGAACAAAGCAGCATGTAACAGAAAGAGAGAGAGAGAGAAAAGGAAAAGAGAGAAATAAAATGTTGTACCTATGAATGACATGATTTAGAAAGACGAGATCCAGTTGTTCTACTGACTATTTAATAAGTTATAGGTATCACGCCTAATGCTTCCTTTATCGCACAGAACACGAGCTAAGTAGGTAGGGTGTGGTTGAGTTTTTGTACTTCCTAGTGCGAGCATATCGTTTTCTATATAGGCTTCTGGTTTTACCTGATGAGATACAAGGGGAGAGTTGTGGATGAAGAGTGTGGTGTGAGTTAGATAAAATGGATTAAGCGCATTTTTCACATGAATCGAAATGCGTGTCAACCAGAATATTAACAGGCTGATTAAGTGGCATATTGCTTACACTGCTGACAACCTTTAACATCCTGCGTAATAAGGTATAGTCCTTCTTCAGTAGCCCTGGAAAAACTAAGGGGGAACAATAGAGAATAATAGGCAGGATGCAAGAGTTAACGAATTGTAGGAGTAAGGTTTGGTTTATACCAGAATGTCTCAACTTCTTGATGTAGAAGGAAAGACGGAATATTTTCTTAGAAATCATCAAGATATGAGACGACCAGGAAAGGTCAGCAGATACAATGACGCCTAGGACTCAGTTTGTGTCATAGTTTATTTAGCAAGAGACACCTAGGTACAGAGTCGAAAGCAGGAGTGAAGTCGAGAAACTTGCAGTGGACGTATTTGGCACCTTTATCTAATGATCAGACGATGCTGTTGTGTAAGACGGCTGCAGCGTCTTAAGTGCTCCTACCTTGTCTATATGCAAATTGTTTGGAGTCTTCAAAACTTTTAAGGGAGGGTTCAAGTTTAAGAAGTGCTGGTTTTTTCATAAGCTTTAGAAACGGGGAAGTGATGGCAGTGGGTCTGAACTTTACCTTCTTACTATTGCCAGATGTAGGGACAGGGACTATTTTAATGTCTTTCCGTGCAACAGGTACAAAGTTTTTGGAAAAAGAAGCATTTAGGATGTTAGTTAGTGGAGAACATGAAGCATCTGCACATTGTTTTAGACCATATGCAAGTACACCATCAGGGCAAAGGCTACGTGAGGGCTTAAGGATTCAAATTGAATACCCCCATACATTTTTTTATCTCGATCGGATTACTGTTTCTTTTAGATTTAAGTAGGTAGTGAATTCCTGAAAGGTTCTTGGTAAATGTATGAGTGTACAGACAGGAATTCATTGGGTATATTGTTGTTTCATGCATTTTATTTGGTGTAACATACACCGCGCTGGTTGCATACGTATACCAATGCATTAACGACTCCATTTGTGTTGAATGCTCATAACCAGCATGGTTTTTAGCAGACTCGAAGTCTGCAATACATACAGTTTTTATCGAAAATAGACGTTTACAGTATAATTAACTATATTCGAAATCATTGTACTATAATGTAGTATTCAGCCTCTATTTACTCTCTTTCTAACTTCTACATATACCTGGTAGTTATGATCAGTCTCTTTATAGAGAATCGCGTTTCTACATTCATATTCTATTTCACCTATGGGTATACTGAATAAAAACAATTGTCAGTAAATGTAATACAAGTTTCATGCATATATATGTATGTATCCATAGTGCGAAGAATTTATGAAAATATGATAAGTGTGTGAGTGGAATATCATTTCGTTTAGAAAAGAAAGCAACTGTTATCTTGATTGTGCAGTAGATTATGACTAATTCTTTTGAAATCGAATTGAAATATCTGTTCATTTATTCAAACAACTGGTCAGACATAAATAAATACACTCAGTACATCTTAATATACATAGATCACGTTTATTCTTCGTTGAAGTTTCTGTAGCGATTTGGTTGTTTTACAGGGGTGGAGTTGCTAGCACCACGCCCCAACCCTCCCTCTTTACCTGGGCTTGGGACCGGCGAGAAAACTAGTAAGCTAGTAGCCTAGCAAGCTAGTATCTGGTGAGGTTTGGCGCCCGATGGGGGGGCACGAACCCCCGAACCTCAGCTGTACGACAACGGCACATGTCAAGTGATCCACAACGGAAAACTCAGCAAGGCGTTTGGAGTAAACACAGGAGTCAGACAAGGGTGCTTACTATCACCAATGATATTCCTAACTGTGGTGGACTGGATCATGCGTCAGACAGTGACAGGGAAACGAGAAGACAGGAATATCCTGGACCGACGTGAAGAACCTAGAAGACCTGGATTTCGCGCGTGGATGATTTATGTTTGATGTCACACACAATCGAAGACTTACAAGCGAAAACCGACAAACTGGCCGAAGAAGCAGCCGGCGAAGACAGGACTCCAGGTGAACATAGACAAGACGGAGGTTATGAAAATAACCAACCAACAACAGCAACAACATCCAACGTCAATCACCATCAACGGGAGGGATTTGAAAGAGGCTACTTCATTCACTCACTGATCTAAGGAGCATTGTCTCAACTACAGGAGGAACGGACGAGGATGTCAAATCGAGAATCGGGAAGGCGAGAAACACATTCATCAGCCTGAAATCAATCTGGAAATCTTCGTCACTCAGCCATCATCAACAACAAAATTCAGTCGGATTTTCAATACAAACGTAAAGTCAGTTCTTCTATACGGATCAGAAACTTGGCGAGTCACAAAGAATATTTCCAAAAGGTTGCAGACCTTTATTAACAACTGTCTTCGCTCAATACTGAAGATCAGATGGCCGGAAAGAATCACCAACAAGGAATTATGGGAAGAAACAAAGCAAGAACCAATCGCCAGCCAACAAATATGCAGGAGAAAGTGGAGATGGATCAGACACTCGCTGAGGAGACCGCTGGGTGACATCGCGCGTCAAGCCCTCGAGTGGAACCCGATAGGGAAGCGGCGTGTGGGACGTCCAAGGGTGACATGGAAGAGATCGTGTGAAGAGGAGTTGAAAGAATATGGATTAACATGGATGCAGGCGAAAAGTACAGCAGAAGGAAGACAGAAGCGGCAAGTGGAGACGTGCAGTTGAAGCCCACTGCCGTATGTTCCACTAGGAACCCAAGGGAGCAATAATAATAATAATATACGTTTATTCTTCAAATCCCATAAATGTATAAGCCAATTATTTAGATAAATACGAAACACTTTCGTATTAAGGTGACCAAATGGTGAAGATAATGTCGCTAAACAAAAGGTTAATTAAAAGTCTATTCGTTTTTTCATTAATCCTACACATTAGCATTTCAGAGAGTGTAGCTGAATATTCACCCACCGTATCTCTTTTCAACTACAGGTTAACAAACGCTTTTTTTTCTCCTTCACGTTCCCCAGTGGAACATAGGGCTTCAAGCTAGAGCTTTGAAGTTTCTGTAGCAGTGTTTAATTTTACAGGATGGGGTTGCTAGCCTCATGCCCAACCTTCCCTCTTTACCAGTCTTATTACTGGATAAGTGAGGTAAAGGAGAGTGTCGGTGGCCGGGCATCGAACCCCGGACCATGTTCATGGTCGGTGAGCGCCCTAACCGCTGTGCCACTGACGCACAACAGACGCTTGATTCATTGATTTTATCTTATATTCCTATTGACTGAACATTTAGCACGGGTTTGATCTGTAATCAGAACTAAGGTACCATCTTATAAATGGTCTGTATTTAATGCTATCCAGCATAATACATTTTCTAATATGATTTTACTCTTACTTTCATGGGCTATCGTATGATATTACTTATCGATTTTAACTGTATAGCTTAAGAAGTCAGTTGTTCTGAATACGGAAAATGTGTTACTTGAAGTTCTGTCAGTGTAGACCTCCTTTTTTCTTGTTTATCTCAATTTTAATTAGAAATAAATACAATATCGTTTTGTTTTTCATTCATTGGGAAATACAAAAACCTTTATTAAAATGAATGTCATATACCCAATGCCCAAATTTTTTCAAACTGTTAAAAGTGAACTTGGTTTGGACATATATAAAGAAAGAAATACTAAATAAATAAACAGTTAAATCTGTGTAAAGTAAGTGTATTGTCTTCTTCACGGTAAAAAATATTTTACTTGTATTATTATCTATAGATCCCATTTTTCTCAAAAACCAATTAATTGTTAAACTTTTTTTGTCTATTTATTTCCTAAACACTACAGATTTAGAATCTGGTGGACTGAAAAATAATCGTAGCAAGATAGCAACAGTTGTCGATCAAATCAAGTGTAACAGCTCCGGTGATCTAACAGTTCAACTCGATGTTAATGCTATACAAGCAGATGGCAGTCTTCGATCAGTTCATCATATTACAATTCGTATCCACGATCTTAATGATAATGGACCGAAATTTGAGCAAATCAGATGGCATAAAAGATTAAAAGAAGCTCTTTATCGAGTTGGTAGAAAAATTGATCTACCCAGAGCTAGAGATATTGACTTACTCGCTGAACATAGACGAATGAATTATCGACTTGATCCATTCCATGAAGACGGACATAATTCAACTGATCCAGCTAAAAGTCCATTTAAACTAGAAATAAGCAATTTGGGTCAACCTCGTTTAGTATTAACTGAAGACCTGGACGCTGAAGTGGAAACTAGACACAGATTTGTTCTGGTAGCTTATAGTCCAAATGCTGTCATGCCTAGAAACACGTTAAACAACCTAATTATACCAAAAGAATCTTATTTAGAAATTGATATTGAAGTCACAGATATGAATGATAATGAACCCAGATTCTCATCCCCTGTATACAACGTCAGTGTAGCAGAAAACGCATCAGTTGGATCTGTAATATTTGAAGTAAGTTCCAAATGAACTTTTTTTTCAAATCTGAAGTCAATAATTCTAGGTTCAGTTTTTATTAGATTGCTTTTCTATTTTTGCACCTTTGAGAAACCAAACTTATTAAGTTCTTTTATTTTTAAATAGAACGTGAATCTGAGGTCACTATGGAATATTAGGAAATATTTATAGCTCATGACATGAATAGGAAACACTTGGTGTTCTCTGGTATTTGATGGTAGACGCTTCATCAGAATTGGTGACATCATTGGCACTAACTGCATTATGTACTGTAGCTAAAGAAGATTTATCATAAATTATTCTTTGAATGTTCAATCCCGTAAAGTTCAATCCTAAGGAAGGAAGTATTCAGAGAACGCCAAGTGATATTTCTATGACAATTGTCTCTACGTGTATCTGCTTGTATGTCGATTACCAAAAGCCTAATTAATCCCATTAAAGTAATCATACAACTTTTTTCTGCTAGAAAAAAGTAAAACAAAATGAAAGTTATGAAAGACTATTTTGAAAAATAACAAGCGGAATCACTTTGCTCCGATGAATTTGTCTTGTCATAAGTCAATTACTTTTATGAGTTTATGAATATTCCACTTTTCACTTCTTAGTTTGAGTTTTCCTTACACTAGTCTCTAACTACCATAGCTTGACCAATTTGGTATCTAAAAATCTGGGCTCAATAATAATGCGTAGACTAAGAGGTGCTCGGGAGGCATAAACATGAAAGGACCAAGCAGACTTTAGACCAGGAAGAGGGTGTATTAATCATATCTTCACCCTTTGGCAGATTCTGGAACATAGGCATACTTACCGGTGTCCAGCAGTCTTCATATTTCTTGACCTGAAAGCGGCATTCTGTTCCGTCAACCAAGAGGTGCTACGGCAATGTTTGTTTGCGAACGGAATGTCGAGAAAATACATTGCACTGATCAAAGCACTCTACTTGAACTCATTCAGTCAGCCAGGTGACAGCCTATGGAAAGTTGTCATCTGAAGTGGTGACAACTAATGGTGTCCCTCAGGGATGCCCACTGTCTCCATTTCTGATTAATTCCGTCATGGATGCATAAACGGACCTAACCCTAACTGAATTCAGCGACTTAGGGATTAACTTGTTACCATCAGGGAATAATCTAGTTGACCTAGAATATGTAGATGACGTAATCCTTCTAGGTGAAGACGCTGGTAAAATGTAGAGTCTTCTCAACAGCTTTAGCTACAATCTGCGAATGTATGGCATGCGATTCGCTCCCACCAAATGTAAGATGATGTTACAGGACTCGTCTACATCGACTCCTAGCTTGGAAATTCGCATCAGCCAACGCCAACGGGTTGATCGCTGACGAAATCTCAGCACGGATACACAAGGCTCGTTTGGCATATGCCAGTTTACGCCGTCTCTGGCTTAGAAGACGTGATATCCTGCTGGCTGTCGACCAGAGGGCGTATGTACTGTTCAACAGTTCGCTCCGTCCTCCTTTATGGTTGTCAGTGAGCTCTGGTCATTGAAAGTGGAAGACATAAAAAGATTAGCTGTCTTTGATCATGAGTGTCTCCATTCTATCTTCTGAGTTAAGTGGTATAATAAGGTGATCAATATTGACGTGAGACATCGGCCGAGTGCTAGGTAAGGAGGGGAAATCAGCTGACGAGGCTGTGAAGCTACATCGACGAGCAATGTTAGTTGACTTACACATGATGGATCAGGATGGAAAGGAGTCAGTGGTGGTCAGGTCAAAACATGGCTTCATTAGTCAACGAAATCCACAACAGTTAATTTTAAGCCAGCCAGCTATATAGGGAGGTATAGACTTCCTTGTTTCGGTTTTCGCCTCATATCTCTGTTTCTTATCCCTGTTTTGAATCTCTTTTACCGTCTTCTCGTGCTTTGTGTTCTACCTGAAGTGTGGCAGCTCGAACTGCTGCACATTTGTGCAAAGTTCTACGCTGAAACCAGTCAGCCAGTAATAAGTTCAGAAAAATTTTCAAAGGTCTGTTTTAAACAATAAAGTGTTACATATATTATAATGGGAGGGGAGTATGTAATCACTATCGAATTGATGGACTGGAGAGGTTTAACTAAAGAATACTTTAAGCGTAGCATTCGACAATATGATTCAGATTGTCGTGATCCTAGTTTCTTAGATGGTTGGTTGTTGCCGAGCAAAGGTACATCTATTAGCCTCAAAGTAAAAACTTCTGCCTGAATCAGTTATCGTTTTCTTTTTACAAGCATTGTGAACATTGTCGTCGACTTTATTGTACATTGATTGACCTTTCCTACCACGTATAAACCTGTTAGTACCACCACTGCTTTCATTCTGCATTGTAGTACAGTCAAACGTTACTCACTGGGTGTAAGAAGAATAAAAATGTTCACCTAGTCTTGTGACCAGTAATTAATTGTGCATAGGATATTCAATTACGGCAGATCATGTTAACCAGTCGGAAGAGATGTATTTGTTTTCCGTAACTATAATCACTATGGTGCTTCTCTGTTTGTCAAGACTAATCAGTGATTGGTCAGATAATCTTAAAATGACCGAAAAGACAAAAATTCTTCTTTCCCCGTAATATACGTAAGTGTACTACAGTTCAAATTAGTTAAATTTTGTCCATTACAGCTTAAGGACAAATAGAAATTACATTAGAATTCCATAAAGCGAAACGTAATCAGCAGATCAAGGGAAAGACAATGAAATCATTTACATCACAAAGTCCACTATGTGATCTATACAGTTGGCATCATAATAAATAAATCCAAGAATCAGTTTCATACGTATTTTATGCATCATATGAATATAGTTCACATCTCTTAGGACACTTAATGCATTGCTGTGACGTCAAAAATACCAAGCCTTTGTCTTCTTTATGGCTTGAAATACTCTGGTTGGCACATCGCCTCCTCCTTTCTCCAGTTACAGTTTTTTGTGAAGGCAAAAGTCGAAAGTCTCTAGCTCTAAAACTCTCGGAACTTTTATACCTAGTTTAAAGTGTCTCCCTAATTTCCCCAGCGAATGTCTCATTACACGAATAGACTAACCCTGGTAAATCGTGTCACATCCTTAGTGTTGGTTAAAACTATATATCGGTTATAGAAAATAGATTCTCTTATGTGTATTCTCAAGCATCAGTGCTTAGTACTGAAAGATCCATAACGAAAGCTTATCTTTAGATAACTGTATCATAAGTGACTTAATTCACTACCATACTTATAATTTTAAATAACACTGGCAACTAAAATACTGGTGACTGAGTATTTGAATTGTGTAGCTAAAAAAGATGTTATATATTAGGACTGTATTATCAAGAAGGATAATATTATTAGTTTTTTAAAGGAAAGGCTTACCACTTTCTCGTACAGCTCACAGTCCATCTCATCAGCATAGAGAGAGAGAGAGATGTTACATAGCAATACAAGTTCTGCTGGTTAATATGTACTTTCTTTCTTCTTGAAAATTCCTTTTCTTCCTTCAATGACGCTTTATACTACTGTCATTTCGCTATGTGGTACGTTTCTTTATTCCAATGGGTTGTCAAGTTCCACTTACTTATCCTCCATCATACCATCATTTGTCAGACTCGAGGAGCAATAAATAATGGCGCTATAGGGCATATTTGTCAGTTTTGAGAAACCTCTAATTAATTGTTTAAAAATTTAAAGTTTGATCTGAGGATGGTAGACTGCTAAGCTTGGTACATTATTTGTACGTTGTTACATGTTGAAATAGTGAAGTATTTAGCCAGTGAATTATTTTTTTCAGTGAGGTAAGACCAATTTTTAAAAATCTATCCTAAATTAATTGAAATATGATGATGAAACCATGAATAGCTATATTACATAAGTCTATTCCTGAGAAAAATCCCTGCCGAATTCCGTGCTTCGTATGGTTTTTATAACTAGTTCTACAGGAGGAAGCGAATTCTTAGACCCCCACACACACTGAAGTGAATTAAAGCAGAAGTTTCTCCCTCACATATCCACGAATCATTTGCTAACTGAAGAAATCAGTTCATCTCTCAGAAGAATAAATGTTTCATCAACAATTCGGACAGGTTGTTCATCATAATCTCAGATACAGTTCTGTCATGGAATTCAGCATTCATAAATAAACGTTTTTCGGAGCCATGTGAATTCTTTCTGAATGTTGTATATACGTACATGTTCTGATGAATGAATTTTGTAGGGTGTTCATCTTGTGTGATCACTTGTCGTTAGTTGTATCACCTGTGCAGATCTTTCTGCTTCCTTTAGATAATGAACGCCTCAAGCTTTGCTTTCTGCTTAACTCGGTACATCAATGAAAATTCACTGATTAACACACAGTTTATTTTTTTGGAGACAGTCATCAGACGTTTTCTTATGTATTATTCACGAAATAAAATTCTGCATTGACCATAGATTTCGACTTGAATTCAGTCGAATGACAGGAATTATTGAACTTCTTTACAACTTCCGTGTCAGTATCCTTATCATATATGATGAATGTTTAATTCATATATCTTTTATACGAGTGAAAACTCTGAATCGTCGGTAGTACCATGTACAATAACCTTTGGTGAATTCAACCTTTTGTCTGTCACTGAGATTGACCCAGAGGTTAAAGCAGGTCCTTTAGAGAGTGTATAGGACTCTTATTTTCAAGAAGTAGAAAGATATGCACAGAGGATAGAACTAACGACAAGTGCTCACACAAAATGAATACCCTACAAAATTCATCCATTAGAGCATGTACATATGTACAACATTCAGAAAAAATCCACATGGCTCCGAAAAACGTGAGTCCACTGTGTGTCGGTGGCACAGTGGTTAGGACTCTCGCCGAACATGCACACGGTCCGAGGTTAAATCCCCTGCCGACACACAACTGATATCTATGGTCGGCCTGCAAAATTTGGGCTACCGATATCCATGCTGAAAATTCCATACTTGTACGAAAAATACAGTGTGGAATCAAGCTATAATCAAAAATCAAAAATAAATAAAAAATATTTATGAA